AGGAGAGGAGAGGAGAGGAGAGGAGAGGAGAGGAGAGGAGAGGAGAGAGGGAAGGAGCAAGGAAAGAAGGAACAAAGAAACAAAGAATTGAGAAAAGCAGTAGCTATTTTGGAACTTGAAAGCAATTAGTCAATTATTAGACACATCCACATTTGTTTCTGTGGTTTCTTCATCCTCTAATACACTCATCCTCTAATACAAAAGAAACTTAAACTGAAAATTACTTACACTAGGTCCTGGGGGTCCAGGAGGGCCAGGTGGTCCTCTTTTCCCAGGGTCCCCCTAGGTCATTTACAGACATAGTAGTTACACAAGGTTCAGAACACAGAACATTAAACCAGTAAGAGAATGGCATCACTCAAAAGTCTAGCGGAACTCACGTAGCCATCAGCCTGCCACCAAACCCAAATGAAGGAATTCTGGCCTCACCAAGGTAGAAAACAAACCCAAAAAGACACAGGGGGAAACATAAACTAACTATCCATAGGATAATAACTCTACCCACTTGAAACACAAACCAGAAACCCCATGTGCTGTTCCAGTTGGTCTACAGTTGATCTAGACTAGCCAGTGATACTAGTGTCCTTCAGACAACTAAAGCAAAAGAGAACTTGTGTTCAGCCTGAAGCTGAGAATGGAAGATCCATCTCTACAAATCTGTGTCTTCCTTCTGCAGTCTACCTACCCTGATCTGTCACTGGATGCTTGCAACGAACAGTAAAGCAAAGATAGCTAAATTCAAATAAGCCGTTCAGATGAAAGCAGGTTCAAGTTACTCTTGAGGGTTTACTATTGGCACTTTTTCCTTCTTACTCTTCTACATAAAAAATCAGGAGCAGCATAGTTATTCTAAATATATGATCATCCGTATTCATTCACTCATAGCATATATGTAGGTAACTTTGCAACAGGACACATACAGAAGAAAGATACCTGTGATCTGACCCCTTTCCTCAATGCGCTCATAATTTCGTACCTTTTCATAACATCAGTGCTTCAACATATTTAAATGTTTACAGAATATCACATGAAACACCTGTTATCAACAATTTTCTCAATCAAGTTCACTTCCTTCCTGTTTAATTATAATTAAATTCTGATTATAATTGAACGTATCCACTTTAAATAGGCATAGTGATAACTGAGCGCTATTGTTTAATTTCATCAAATATTTTAACACAAAAGCCACTGGATCCCAATCCTACATGAGTGTATAACAATGGATGATATCCCCTAATTTGAAACTCAACCTGGAAGTTAGGAAGCAATGCTTAGCTGAGATAAAATTCATCTACACTCTTCGGCATTTCTAGAGGAGGTGGACAGTGGGATGATCTGCCTTCACCACTAGCATCTGCTTTCAAATTAGCAAACGTCAATCAAAATGCACCAGGGTACTTACAATAGGGCCTACACGGCCAAGTTCTCCAGGAAGTCCTGTGGTCCCAGGAGGACCCTGAAGTCAATAAATCAAAGGGATAAGCTGATTAATTCATATGTTTACAGTCTATCATAAATGCTATTAAAGATGATAAATAATAGAATTATCTATCTTTGCTAGTGTTTGGCTTGCAGTGAGACAATAATTCATGTAAAGAAACTTTTATTATCTAACAGGAAACATAGATTTCCTAAATTTGTAATTTTCCTGTTTTGTGTCCATATTTGGCAGAATAGGAGCCTTGTCATTGGGAGTTATGTAACATCATATAGACAAGTCTATAAGCCCCACTGGTTAAAGTAGCATACAGGGTTGGGTTAGACTTTTAGAAATAGAATCTTTTCTAGAATGTGTAAAAATAAACAATACTTACAGGGGGTCCTGGAATACCACGGCCCTAAAAGGTCAAAATAAGAATAGTTATGGCTTGTGGTTTAAATGTCATAGAAACATAGTCAGAGACATGGCTCCGCTCACAGGATCTGACACTCTCCCACTGTGTAAGTAGACACTGGTGCTCATGGAAAGAAAGCCCTGGATAGAGAGAGCAAAGTCACTCTGCCTCAGACGAAGCCAGAAGTTTGTTTCTGATCCTCAAGCCTTCCTTTGATTCTATGCTGCCCAGTACTGTCTTGCTAAGGATTTTAAACAGAAATTCAAAGTAGAGAATCCATGTGTGCTCACCCTCACGCACAGAAGTGAAGAAGCTGTTTACACTCAGCCTCACTCAGTGAGGCATATCATAACCAAATCATTGAAAGATTATCTTCATCTGTATGAGAAATCTACCTTAACGACAACACAGCTTTATGGCTTATAATAAATGATATTTAGATATTTCCCCCAAACAAGTCATAGGCACAGAGAGGCAAAGAGGTCATTTTTTTCCAGAGATATATCCTCTTTGGACTAGAGAGATGGCTCTTTGGTTATGAATGCTGAGTGCCCCCAGAGAGGACATGAGTTCTGTTTCTAGCACTGATATCAAGTGGCTTACACTACCTGCACTAGAAATTCCAGGGAATACAAAGCTCTGTCTTCCAAGGCACTTACATAATACACATGAACTCATGTAGGCTCTTACATATATAAATAAAAAATAAATTATTAAAATAAATGTATTTCTCTTTTAATAGGTATGGTTATATTTCCACACGAGAAGTATAATAGATATTTATTAACTTGGTATCATTCCTGAAATAACTTCTGATGGGATCTTTATGGAATGTTCTATTTAGTTTTTAAAACTCCTCATTTTACCTCCTTTTCCTCTGTCCTTCATTTCCCATGTTCTTAACAGAATATACACAATTACGGGGTTGAAGCCACATCTTGCTTATCCATCCCATCTCGAGTCCCAACACAGAGAGTACTATACAACAAACTCCAACAAGCAGGAAAACAAGTATAACTGATATGGTAAATGAAGTCAGTCTCAGAAAGTGTTTTAGTTAGGGTATCTAGTACTGAGACAGAACACAAAAACCAAAAAGGCAAGTTAGGGAGGGAAGGGTTTATTCAGTGTACAATCTCACATTGCTGTTCATCAACAAAGGACGTCAGGACAGGAACTCAAACAAGGAAAAAACTGGGCAGGAACTGATGCAGAAGCCATGGAGGGGAGCTGCTTACTGGTTTGTTTTTTTCTTGGTTTGTTTCTCTTGGTTAAAAGCAGGTTCAGCCTGCTTTCTTATAGAAACCAGGACAACCAGCCCAGGGGTGGCAGCACCCACCATGAGCTGGACCTTCCCCATCAATCACTAATTGAAAAAATGCCTTACAGCTGGATCTCATGGAGGCATTTCCTCAACTGAGGCTCCTTCCTCTCTGATGACTCTAGCTTGTGTCAAGGTGATAAACAAAACCAGCCAGTACAGAAAGACAAGCATCAGGGTTTTTTGTTTTATTTTTAAGTTATGAATCCTAGATTTTATATAGATCCATGCAATCATGTTTGTATACATGATCTAAAAGCAGAATCATAACTCTCTTGGGAGCCAATAGAAAGGGAAGGGTGGGTGATAGAAAGCAAAATGGCGGGTCAAGAGGGAAGAGGACACAGAATAATGACAACAGCAAAGAGGGCCAAGAGCAAGCAAGAAAGGAGAAGCAAGGCTAGAAAGCGCACACACACACACACATGCACACACACACACACACGCATACACACACACTTATACATACACAGATAACACTACACTTCCTTGCTGAGCAACGCAGAGTCAAGGTGAGTAGTGCAACAGCTCATTGGTTGAAGTTTTATCAGGTATATATATAGCTGTGAGTGTCGTGATGCATGACAGAGATTTAAATTACTAGACCATATTTAGATGGTTGCTATTCTTGCTCAAGGTATGTTTTCTGGTATTGAGATAGAACCAGAAGCTGCAGCTAGGCAATGTGGCTCACATCTGTAATCCCAACCCTCAGGAGGCTGAGGCAGAAGGATAATTGTGAGACTGAACCCATCCTGGACTACATGGTAAACTATAGGTCAGCCTGGGCTAGAGGATATGACTCTTTCTGTCTCAAAATTGAACTACATTAAGAAATCTCACCCAACATGGGCGTGAATTTTATCCCATACATTTAAACTTTTCTACTCACAATAGGTACACATATATATATACCTGCTATATATACGTACATACCGAATGAGTCATATGCCCTTTGCCGTGTGTATATTACGTAGAAAACTGCATTACATTTTTCTTCACAATGGCAGGGTTTTACATAAAAATGGATTTTCGGTTTTGCTGCTTTACTGCTTGTAATACTTACTGGAAATCCACGAGACCCAGGAACACCAGGTTCTCCCTAAAAATAAATAAAAATGCCTTCACTGGAGTATTTGTAGCATATGTAGTTTTCGATCACAGATATGGATATATGCAAATTGAATAGATATCAACTACAGATAGAAATCATTAGTACAGTCCACCTGATGCTCAATGTTTTAGTTGATTTTGAAAATCAAACATCTTTCTTTAGGGATATTTTTGTTGGTATTTGAGAACACAATATAAGTAACACCAGGTGGCTAACTTACCTTTTGTCCCCTTGGTCCAACGGAGCCAGGGGATCCATCAGGTCCTGTTAATCCCTAATGAAGCAAGAAAATAGTGTCAGCGTTATTGTAACAGCCCTAGAAAAACCACTGGGCAGAAAGTTTTTAATTTTAGCAGTTACGTGTAGGTTGGCCACCCATGGATAATGCAAGTATTTGTAAAGTAATACTTCATGATAGATCCTTCTTTTCAAACATTTACCATGGCCTCTGCTTTTGACTTCTCTTCTGTTGAAAATTTGACAATTTGATAACTGCACTGTCACAGGTTCAGCAATTTAGTGGGATTTTTAAATCTCTGCTTTGATAAAAATACAATGTAATAGTTACAGTGTTCTCCAGTTGAATCTGATGGACATTGACTCCGCCCATTTGCCAGATTTATGTATCTACTTTACTTCACCTATAAAATAAAAATAGTATGTGTCTTTCTGGATATGGGGCAACAATGTCTTGAAAGCTAATGCAATGTTTTCTTAATGTGAAATAAATACAAATAATTTTAAATCCTCCAGCCATTTTCTAGCAATGTAATAACTTAGTGAAGAATATTAACTTTTAAGTTAAAAAACTACGTGAAAGCATGCATTTTCCTTAGTAAAAACATGTAACAATGTGCACTGCCTGCTATACATAACTTAAGCCTAGCATATATGTCTGCCATCATATCTCATGCTAAGATGTATTAAATATATTTTATATCCATTTTATCATTTCTATTAATACTTATTTCATCTTCTTCTTCAATAAAAGGCAGATATGGAGCCATGACAACAAACCAAATCTGGATATTAACCACAGCGTGACACTTCTTTGCCTCCTCAGATTTCTTCAGTGTCTGGCCATTTTCATGAACACTGACCTTTTAGAATAATGTCTTAACCAACTACTCCTGTTGTGAAACATCTCTGAGGGATGTAGGTTTTGACCATTCCAAACATGAAAAGCATTTAACATTACGCCTGTATGGCATCACATAGTTTAACGACAACCCCTATACATAATTGCCCCACTTCTCCCTGTCTCATTTGGGTCCTGTAAGAATAAAATACTATTTACAGAGCTTTCTGAGCATCCTGAAACAAACAGCACCTGCAATCATCCACCTATTGATTATTATCCATAATAGTAACATCATTGCCCTGTGGGTACAAGGCTTATAGGCAGGCTCTGGCATCTCTATTCTGTATGACCACAAAAGAAAAGAAGATTCAGCTTTGATAGGTGGAGATAGGAGGGTCTGGAGGATAGGTGAACACACACACAGCATGCACAATTTTCAAAATCCAATTTGCAATAAAACTCTCTAAATCTAATTTCAAAGATATTACAGAGCAGAAATCTCTCCATTGGCAGGGAGAATTGCCTTCATATGAGTGTTTATGCAGACAGAGCTCCATATAGAATAATATTGGAGCCGCGCTGTGAGCCTTCCCACCCCCATTTGTCAGGGAATACCCGTCCTTGCCGCTGTATCTTGTTTCCTGCCAGCAGCCCAGCAGCCCAGCTGAGGACAAGGTACACCACTAGAAGCATGGCTGTAATACAAACCTACCAAAAATCCATTGCACATGGGAAACGTGGTCCCTCTCTTGGATTCTGACAAACAACACCTCCACCAGCCATTTTATTAAACATCACCAAAAAGATAAAGTTTCTCAGAGAAACTAAGAGCAGAAGACAGAGATTTGGAGATCAAGGTCCCTGAGTTCACCGTCAAAACAGCTCTTCAAGGCTTTCCTAATGTGTTTTCCTCCTCGGGCTCTGTGTAGAGTGGGTCGTATGCACTCTGAGGAGGTGACTACTCACTGTTCTCAAAATGTCCTTTCTCAGTTACAGTGAAAGGCTTTAACATCATCTCAATGAGAGGGGAGAAAGGAAACTCCCCAGCTGCAGAAGTCACAAGTGGCTTTGATTCAAAGGTTGAAGATGATACATTAAATTACATACACACAATCATTGAATGTCAATTGTAAGCCATTTTCAACACTTACTGTCTTATGTATTATTCTTCCTAGTTGGTAACGTAGGGAATAAAACATCCACTATCACTCTTTTCTTCTATTCTTCCCAACCACTCATCTATTAAAATGATGAGACCCAGCACAATCGGGTGAAATGACCATAGATGGATTAAGATCCTCATCGGTATCTCCTGGAGGGTAGACCTGAGTTGCCCAAAATGTATTCAATAAATACAAGTCTCTGCGGTCCTAGCAGCTACATAACTCTGGATCTCCAAGGAAATTATTTGTCCTTATAATTTTTTCATTTTCCTTTTTATGGGAAATAACATTAAAATGATCTACTTTCTAGGTTATGGTAAAGCCAAAGGGAGTAATATCTGAGGCACTGCTTGAGGGAAATACTCCAAGCATATGAAAAGGCCACAGCTACGTTCTAGCACATCTAAGGAATGCTAAAACCCTGGCACATGCAATGGGGTTTCTTCCTTTTCCAACCTCTCTTTCCCTCTGACTTTTGCTTCCTTCTTCTTACATCCTGGGTTTCTTCTTATGGACCATTTCAGGGTCAAAGGTGATGACCTAAGAAGCTTTTTACAGCTTCTGATATTGTGTTGTCATTTTTGCACTACAGGGCTATCAATACAGACAAAGAAGAACCTTGTAATTGCTTTCCTGTTCTACTACAAAATTCAGAGTCCACTCATGTGTTTATCCAAATGGGAACATAATGTTAAGAAAGAAAGAAAGAAAGAAAGAAAGAAAGAAAGAAAGAAAGAAAG